AAGAATCATAGAAGCTCTGAAACGCAACACTGCAATTGGATTCTTGCCACGGACCGAGATTGCGATCGGTTTTTCGATAATATTCCCCGGCACTTTTCCTCTAATACAACTCCAAAAACTCAAAGAAAGCTTTGCCACAGATATTATTCCGGCGCTGGCGCTTTGGTGCCAATAGCCGCCACCATTTCTCAACATAATCGATGAAACTTGTACACGTGGGTTATTTAACATCCTGATCACGAATATGACATCCGTTTTTGTCGATGAGGACATTTCTTGCCATATGGTGTCGATTTAGCGGAAGCCTTTCTCACCAAAATCGATGAAAATCAGTAGAATAGGTAGACTGATACAGTGTTCACAAAAATGTCATTCAATTTTCGACACCAGCGCAATTTAGCGTTCTGTCAAGGCTGAGCCTGGGAGGAGGAGTAATTAATTACCTTCATGCTAGGCTCAATCTTGAAGGAACAGTATGCGTTGACCTACGAAAATGTGAACGATTGCATAAGAGAAGTAACGTAGTTCGCAATGGACAACCTTGTTTCAGTATCACTGTGAAAGTTGTAAGGTTAAGGCACTAAAACCTAAAGTTGCTCAAGTGACACCTCATTTTCTCCGCCTCTGCAATCCGCTTTCCACCGAAAAACATTTCATCGGACAATAGCATGAACAGGGTACAGCATCGTGATGTGTGAAATGATGGTGTCAGTACGACCCTCTCCCCTTCCCCAACACCTACCTACCATTTCCTACAAGTTCCCCGGCTTCCTACCGAGTTTCACCCAACAATTTTCGGTCGGGAGATGGAAGGGCACATCATTGGTTGGGGATTTTGGTCGAGTCCGTACGAACCCCCTTTTTTGTAGGTTGGTACGACCCTCCCCCTCCGGCCCTCTGTCCCTCCTCATCGAGCTGTCGAGCGGGGAGGTAAATAGCACATGTGAAACGGGAAAAGCCGCGAGAAAAATACGACCCTCTGACTTCTACCGATTCTCAGATTTTCCCAACTTCCTACCGCTTTTCCAAAATTTCCCGAGAATTCCCTCACTTTTCCCAAAAACTCTGCTGTCGAGCGATCACGAAAAGTCAACCACCTCTCCCATCAGAAGGTCAAAAAGTAAAACACACCCCTCGTTCCCAACAACGAGCGAAGTATGACCCCCTTTACAACGTCCGTGAAGCGAGAAAAATCAACTATCAAAATAAATTTTTCTCAGCCCAAATACGACCCCCTCTCCCGGCGACCGAATGCGACCCCCTGTTGGGGATTCCCCGACAACGATGTGCCCTGGGACGGGGGTAAGTAGCATATGTGAAACGGAAAAAAATCAACAACGGGAAAAAAATTCTTCCCAACGCGGCAAATTCCTCTAAAACCACATATGACCCTCCCCCCCCCTCTCCCAACAACGACCAAATACGACCCGACTACCCAGCAGTCAAGTACGTCCCCCTATGTGCTTCTCACAACGATGCTGTACCCTGAGCATGAAATGCAAGCTCCACTGGCACTTGTGGGGTCGTGGGGTTCATTATCAACAACCAGCTTACTGGAGTCGCCCTGCACTGGTGCAAGTCTTTCGGCCTTCCACCCGTACAATTGTTTGAGGCTGAAGCGGCTCAATTAAATGCGCAATCATGTAGATCTGCAGTCGTGCCAATTTCCATGGACATTCTCTTCACAGACAGACACTGACAAATTCTCTTCATATTACTACCACTAGTTACGCTTCCTATCGTGGACCTGTTTTCTACACAGTGCATGTTTAGAATGCTCCACACCGGCACCAAGAATGTATGTCATATTCGTGATCATAGTACACAAGTTTCATCCATCTTGGTGAGATAGGCGATGGCGCCAAATTCACATCTACTGGCGCCAAAAACGAATATCATATCCACGAATACGGCACTGAATAACTTCTGCGGGCGAATTTCCAGCAGAATCTTTTTTGAGTTTTCGGAGCAAGTACTAGTGGAATAATGCCGAACTGTCCATGAAATTTTGACGCTTATTACATACTCTTAATAAAGACGAATACGTCGTTGAACACAGCGGTTAGAATGTTCAGCTAGAGCCTCCCTCGTCAGAATGTCGTCGATATAACTTTGCAGCAACTCAGTTCGATGGTGGCACAATTTCTATAATCTTCTTTTCACGCGGTGGCAACGGCTGTCTATTTTGCTGAAATTATTTCTATGATTTCTCAGGGTTATAGTACTCATCACTGGACTTTGTTCTCCGAGAATCACTGTGACATATGAGGGAATAAATAGACATGCTGACCTGCTGAGTAGGATCGAAATACACCACATCAGTTGGTTGGCGAGGTATGCTGAAGTTGTGCTGAGGTGGCGGAAGAGGAGGAGGAACGGTTATTGGAGTGGCTGTTGGCAACAGCTCGCCTCTCTGCTCCGAGTAGCGTTTCGGTCCTGTAAATCCACGGGGTGGGTACGCTTCAGCGTAACCGCCACGAGGCGACTGAGGGAGACCACCACGTGAACGACCAGCGTATCCACCTCGAGTTGCATAGCCCCCTCGAGCGTCATAGTAGCTTCCACCGTCTAAAGCTGAATATACAAAACAATACAAAGATGTCAAGAATGGTGAAAAGCTCGCTCATTCAATAAGCGCAGAAACATGGACAGCCCTGAAAGCAAGCATGAGGAAAACGACGTCTCCTCTCCCTTCCTCAACTCTCCGTGATAGAAGCAAACGTAGCCCCCACCTTGAAATCAAGAACAATGTCCCTGCCGAATATGTTGTAAGATTATAGCCAATGTCCACGGGCGATCCATAGTTTCTGTATTTTGAAGATAATGCTACTTACCCCTCGGAGAGTAACCAGCATTCCTTTGCGGTGGAACCTCTTCGTGCTTGTAGAGGGACTCTCGTACGTCACCACTTCGAGCAGATGCCGTAATTGTTCGCGTAGACTGCCCGCGCGATGCTCCATAAGGATTTCCAGCTGAAAATTGGAATTTATAAAGCAGTTCTGATGGTCCGAGCACCTGCAAAAGTTTGAGATCGGAACCATGTTAACTCTGCGAATAGGATAACTTCATTTTAGATAGGCTTTACACCATCAAAAAAATTTTTTAGGATCACTGCTTCTCAATCGCGGCTCGCGATTCCCGTCTTTGTATTGGAACACTCGAAATGTGACTCCAAAGTAAATCATACAGTTGAAAAAAAAACGAAAATTCCGCGTCAGCAAAACTAAAATAACATACATGATCCCTATGTTGTAAGCATCACCCTCAAACATAACAACATTTGTGGGAGTACCCAAACGATCGAGAATTCTCCTCAAATAGTGATGGCAGAGGCGGAGGTGATGCCTTGGGCTCAACTCAGAATCTCCCACCTAGGCCGATCATTGCCCTCCCGAAACAGTAAATTTCGAACCAGTTTCGTTTCGAAGATAGAAACACTGATCTGTTGGCTGGCCCTGGTGCAAGTAACATGGGTCATATCGGATTTGATGACCCACTGCGATCCTGACTGGAAGCAGAATATGGGCCGCATCCCAAAAAGGGACTAGACATGCTTTACCCTTCAACTTTTTAGGATGTCGCGATAAAATAAAAGAGCTATGAAAGCGGAGCAAACGTATCATGACGCTATTAGCAAGCTTGCGGACCGCGCCACTTCGTACAAGGAAAGAATTTCGTATATCGGATAATCGTGGACAAGCGTAATCCAGAGGATTGTGGCTTTGAAAACAACCTAAAAGATGTCGCCGAGATGTAGAACCGTTGAGAAAAACGAACTGCTGCGTCAGGAAGAAGTTGTATAAAAGAATAAACCTCCGACCTTTCGCAATGCGCCACGCTTTCTTTTACCATTCAGAAAAAGGAATGCATGTGATATGGCTGGTTCAATTAGTTGCGGGGGCCAGCGATGTTCACGTCGGTGGTTTTATCGTCCTCGACGAGTCTATTACCAACCCACATCTACCAAAGGTGTAGAAAACTTGATTGGTACGGAAGGTAGAAGCTAGAGTGAGCGGATTACTTCGTGTTTCTCCTGGTTCCCCTGTATACTGCGACTGGGTTGGATCAGTCATAAAATCGTTCAAAACTAGCAAGCGCTATTTACCTTTGAGAACGATTTCGTGAGGCAAACCCGTTCCAAAGGAAAAGACAGCGCAAAACTCATTTAGTTACAAGAAAAGGATGGGATGTCGAAGTGGTTCTTCAGAATGAGATATACCAATGGTAACGGGATTCACTCATAAAGCGATCTCTCACCCGAGTCAGTCAACTCCATGAGCTCGCGCAGGCGATCATCGGAAATGGGAGTAATACCTAGCAATAAGCCTGACTTCATCATAAACGAGTAACCACGTTCCCGCTGTTCTAACCAATAGCCGTCCTGTGATAATCTCTGTTGCCCCCTTTCGTATTGTTTTCCAAACGCGGTATGTGCTGATGGTTTCAACAACATTTGGAGTTGCACTTTCGCATGTTTTTCCGTCCAACAAAGCCGTTGAATAAAGATATTTGCGAATTAAATCGATTAAAATGACTGGAAGCTCGCTTTTGTCATGCATGCAAGATAAGTCAGACGCTCATTTATGAAGCACTGCTGCATCAACAGCTGATTCTGGAAATCGATTAACTGTATTACAGTGAGAGTTTGTTCCTGCACTGCTCACTTACTCCTCCCCATGTTTATTGACGTTTGCCAATCGCAACCCTTGATCACTCTACGTCGCAGAACATTGAAATGACTATAGCCTGTCTTGCGTTGGACAAAGATATGAATACCACTGACCGCAATATTCCATCCAGCATAGATTCGAATTGACTTCTCGGTCAAATGTCCCATCTGACAGGGGACAGTGTAGTACTCGGGTATATGGACCGGAGCCGGGCGACTCTGTGCCCACATAGCCGAGGAGACATTCGTACATTGCCACGCAGCAAAATCCAGAGTTTCATGTAGTGCTCGCCTGAGCGGCGTTCACAACGTCCTGCCCACTTAATATACGAGAAATGCGAAAATTTAGAAGGAAGAAAATGTTTGGACTCGGAATCCTTGCATCAAATACACTGCGAAGCATAATCATAGTTCCACCCATGAATCTCACAAAATCCCGTCTTACACGACGTTTTCAAAAATGCCCCCATACAAAAAATGTGGTAATTACCAATACCAATTCGCATGCCAACACCAAACACTCACTAACTTGAAAGAACAATTTTTTTTTGTCAATTTTTTGAAAAATGGTCGTTCTGACAATGCAGCAAAATGATAGTTCCACCGCATATTTTCCGGCTGCATCTCATTTTTGTTCGGTGAAACTTCTCATCATTATGACTTCTTGCCTCTTCTAGGCTATGGCAAGTGGAACTTCATTAATGGACCTCGAAAAAGGACAGATTATCGCAAAGAAGACTCAAAAACTGTCGAACCGTCGAATGGCGCGGGATTCGGGCCGCACTCATCATGCTATCAACAATTTTGTCAAGGAACCTACAGGATATTGAGTTGAGAAGAGCTCTGGACTGCTCCTTCTACGCGATCGGAGTAAGCGTCGTAAGCTTAGGAAAGCATCCAACTCTGCAGTGTCGTGTCGGGAAATTAAGTCATTTCGGAGGTTAATGTCTCGAAGGATACTGTTAGGCGTCTCTTGAAAAACTCCTGAGTTCACCCACAGGAATATGAGTTGGGCACTGTTTCTAACAAAAAACCATCGCGAAAACCTAATTGGCTTTGCTCGAAGATGTTGCCGAACCGATTGGGTGGAGTTAGCTTCTAGATGCGGTCCCTACTGCTTGTCTAACTTTTTTTCAGTTTTTTTTCTCGCGGTCGTGTTTTCTGATGAGAAAAATTCAACTGCGACGGCTCCGACGAAAACCGATTCCGCTGGCACGACCTGAGGAAAGACAAGTTTCATTTTTTCGGGCGGAACTTCAGTGGATGTGGTCTCATGGTCTGGGCTGCCATCGCATGAATGGAACGTCTGAAACTGTGCTCCGTATGGAAAAAAAATGATTTCTTCCGTCATCTAAAAGTCATGCGACGACGTCTCCTTGCTTTCTGGCGTAGAAATCAGCAAGAAAGTCCCGTTTTCATGCAAGATAATGCACCAGTTCATGACAGCCGAAGCACTCGAGCGTGATTCAGTTGTCACCAAACCGCTCTTTTGCCCTGGCCAGCGAGTAGCCCCGACTAAAACCCAATCGAGGATGTGAGGGGCTTCATGGTGCGTATGATCCATGAGAGTAATGCACAATTCCACAATGTCCGTGAGCTTAGGGAGTCAATCATTGATGCATGGCACCATGTTGGCCGAAAGCCTATTGAAAATCTCTAATCGAGCATGGGCAACCGTATTTTCCAACTTAGTCGGAAAATAGAGTTAGACTACTGGATCAAAATTTATTGATTTTGTTGTATACTTGTTGGTAGAATAT